ACTGATAATGATAGTGACAATAATAATAATAATAATAATAATGATAATAACAATAATAATGATAATAATGATAATAATAATAACAATGATAATAATAATAACAATAATGATAATAATAACAATAATAATCATTATTATCATTTTAGTAGTAATAATAACAATAATAATAATAATGATGATAACAATAACAACAATAATAATGATGAAAATGATAATACTAATGATAATAACTAACTATAACCATTAACAATTATTACAGATTTCAGAAATTATAACGATAGTAGTGACTCTCATTCCAGCAAACATTTATTTTGTTCATATCTGCATGTATATTCATATATATACATTTATATGTAGGCCTGTGTAACAGATAGATAGATACGTATACAGATAAACAGGTAGATAGATAAATAGATCAATTTTAAAATTTCGACTTATTCCAGCCTTTACATCATTCAGTTAGATTACGGCAAGATGGAAAAAAAATATCCAGACAGGAAAGTTGTCACGAGTCACACAATGAGAAATATACGAGCCTGGCTGAGTTATTCATATAGTATTTGCTCATGTTGGTAAACCACCCCCGGTGCTATAACGGTCTTGGGAAGGAAACAGTCCATTGCAAGTGACATTTGTGATTTGCGAGTTTGCTACGATCTTGCCCTGGAACGCACTGACTATGAATCTGCTGCGAGTATTTTACTTGGTACATTATAGACCCGAAGAATATATTGTAAATTAAGTCATTTTACTGATCTGTTATAAAAAAAATATATTTTTCTCGATCATATGAACTTTTTATTTTACTTTGCTGTGGAGCACCGTTAGTTTTGAACTTCGGGGATAGCTCCGTAGAGTTTTATTTCTATTTGTCCACTTATTCTTTCCACAAAGCAGCTTCCACAGCTGTTTTTGCCGGTTCCCCATGACCGTTGTAGGAACAGGTTGTATAGCAAAGTGTTATTTCCTTAGTAACTGATGTATAAAATAACATTTGGAAAAGTTTTCATAAAAGTCTATACTTCATGATATATGAAATAACGATATTTTAATAAGCCCAGTGAAATTTAAGATTAGCTGTTACAGCAACCATTCAAATTCTGCACATTTAAATATGATGTACTGTAAAGTCGCCATTATGAAAACAGGTAGTTCGATACATTTCTTTTACAAGTAGAAAATATACTGCTACGGCGCATTACGTGGAAAGTCGACAGCATTTTTATCATACAAAGAACAGAGGCGAATTTAAGTCCCTTGACCCAACCGCTCCGGGTTTATGTTCTTCACCCTATAGTTTTTTCGTGAATGTTGTTACATACAGATGGCTCCACATGCGCTCAGCAGGCAAGGAGTCTATCAGTAGTCCTAGTGACCGATCTTGATTTCAGCATTCCTTGAATTGGCGGGAAAATGTGTTTTTCTTTTTAATATAATTCATATCGATACTATTATTATAATTATTATTATTGAAGTTATGATTATTAGATTATTGTCAAAATCTCGATAACAATTAAGATAATGAAATGATGCAAAAGACCCTTTCCAAAAGTCGAGGAAAAGGGTAAACAGGTGAAGTTAGTAGGACTGATAACCGACTCCCTGGTGACTAAACACTTGTAGAGCCGTCTGCGTATAAATACAATAAATAAACTTGTATTACATTGGGTATGGCATGTATTCTTGACGTGGCGATTGGGTTAAAGTAGAGTAAGGCCAGCAACAGGTAAAGGAAAGAGTGGTGTGATGTGGGTCGATATTTGTGGTCCTCGACTCGTACAACACACGGAATAGTTCTTGTCTGCACGCACCTTTTTTCTAGCTCCTGATTCTACGCAGTTTTGGAAAATGGAGGAGAAAGTTTTTTCTTTTGTAATTATACACAGCTTATGCAATAATGTGACATTCCTGATCGTGATTATTACCGTCGTAGATACCGAAAGACACTAGCAATAGAGATCACTAATTCGCAAATCAAGCCATTAACGATTACGCTTGTAGCATCAGTAAACAAATTACTCTAAAACAAATTATTCTAAATTACTCTAAAAGTTAAGTAGGTATGACTTGTGTTGAATATTGAAGAAATGTGGGTGTGAGTGACTACTCCGCGTCAAAAAAAGTCATGTCGATATTAAAGATTACTTGCATTTCGAGTATTGACGTTTCGTGCCTTAAAATAACTCGTTCCTACGCTCAAATCTGTCTGGTTTTGGGTTAAAGATCTTCAATTTGTCTTAGAAAGTACGTCCTTTAATGTTTTTGTGCCTAAAGTAAAAATTAAAAAATTAAAGTACAAATTCGCCCAAATGTGATATTTCATAAGACCGTTGAGAAGTCTGGGATATCTCCTTTCTACTTTCACGAGTGCATTTAAACACTAATAAATTATTTTCTTCACATTGTCTGTACGTAATTTCAAGTGATTTCCAAGTTAAGATTCGATTCCCTTATACCTCTCTGCCTTCCGATCCCTGAGAGCCTCTGCGAAAGGAGTCAT